CGCCGCCGCCACGGGCGCCAATCCCGGCCCCGCCGCCAGCGCCGCCGAGAAGCCTTTTCTGTTTATGTTTCCTCATTTCGGCAGTGACGTCAAAGGGTTTAGTTTTTCCTCTGCATGTGCTATTAATTTTAAGCGACTGCTATGGGAGGAATGTGGCAGTGATTTAGCCTAAGCGAAAGGAACCGGAGTCGTGATTTATCTGTCCTGGATTCAGCTCTGAAAGGTTTTGTATCCGGAGGTACCAGAAAGATCCAAAATACCCTCGCAACGTGGAGAAAAGCTATAAATATGCTTACATACATTCAAGCATTCTTAAGCACACGCAAGATGTTTTCCAGGGAGGGCTGGGTTACCTCTATGGGCCGTGGTGCAAAATCAGAGCCGATTCTGCCCTCGCCCTACAGTAAATCAGGAACTGCTTGTCTAAGTTCAGCAGTGTCACACCAGTGTAAACCAGCCTAAGGAGATAAGACTGAGACTACCGTACACATCCTTTTATCAGCCAGCAGGAGCTCCGCTGCAGAGCTGCTTTCCTCACCCCATCCGAGGCACAGACGCCCTTGAGGGCTGATCCGGGCGAGCAGCTGCTCCTTCCAGCAGCCAGCTGTGCTCGCCTCCGAGCTCGGCTGTGAACCATCACACCGCCTTTTATTCCCTACCAAAGTCCACATCAAAAGGCAAAAGGAAGGTAGAGCCTGCCTTTCAGTATAGCCGCACCATTGACAGCGGAGAAGTCACGCTGCTGAAGCTTCGAGAAACAAATAGTCTTCATCGAGGTCAATTAGCGTGGGCAAAAAAGGGCTAAACCAGCACAGGATAATTGATAGGAGGCCACTTGACAACAGTAAGTGTTTAGTTACCTGCATCATTCTAATTTTATCGATTTGTTCTTCTAGGGAATCCTTTCAAAGATCTCGGTCTATGAGGCACAATTAATTTCTAAAGTCTTAACCATCTCACAGGTAATTTTAAAATACAGAGAAGTGCTTTTAAAAGCGGGTTGACAGAAAGCTCCTGAGAAAGAAATTTCTCAGTGCTCCACAGAACATGTACAGTAGAAGTCATAGGAACTTCCCCACGACCACCAACTGATCCTACCAAAATACAGAGAGGCAAAATAATTGTTTTTGCTTACTGAAAAGGAAAATACTTACTGTCTGTGCTATCACTGTAACGCAATCATCTTCACAAACAAATGCTGAGGGTTACAGGGATGTAAATGTTAGAATAGCATATTAAAAAGTATTAAATAAGTTAAAGATTTACAAAATCAATTAGGGCACATTGAGTTCACTGACTGTACTTAGAGAACTGTATGAAGCAGTTTGAAACACACAAATAGAAATAATATCCATAGCGCACAGAAAATCATCATGTTCATCTTCACTCAGCATTGGGGAGCAGGCAGCTGAGTCCAGTAATTTCAAGCATGAAAATGAAGTAACAATGTGATGGGGAACGACACTGAGTAGCTAAGAATTCCTACGGGATATCTTCCTGGCTGCACCAACATTTTGGGAATTGCACTTCAGGAACCAGTTTTGGGAATGTCAGCTGAAAATCAAATGGATTTCAGTGGGAGTGATCTGGAGTCTGTGAAGAAAGACTGAGGTCGATGCTGTTTAGTCCAAAGAAAGGAGAGTTGGTAAGTATTCTTAATATATGAAGGGTATGTTTCTCTGAAAGAAAACAATGCTAGATAGAGTTTATTCTTTGGCCTGGAGACATTACCTGGCCTTTAAAATTCTTCACCCTTTATGGCAACATAGCTTCATCTGAGCTGATGATAAGTCTCAGACTGTGTTTGGAAAGCAATCAGGGCAGTATTCAAAATCTGTGAAGATCTATTCTATAAACATGACATAGTAGATAATCAAGGTCCACTGTTTCAAGATGCATTCTAGCTCTGTTTTATTAGAATAGATCCATCCAATTTGCAAAGAAGGAGGGATTAAATTTTTGTCCTTAAGGATTGTGATTAGAACAAGTAAACTGCAGCAGAGGAACATTGTTTGATTTAGGAAAAACAAAAGGTAGGAGAGTGAAGTACTGAACTAGATGTGCTGTGATAGTTCACAGTGTCTTCTTACTGGCTATTTTTAAAAGTATGGTTAGTCAACTATTATTCATGAACAGTTTTGATACAGGTGATCCTACTGTGGAGTACAGATGTAAAAGTAGAAGATTTTCAAATGTCTATTTCAGTCCAATTGTATTCTTGGTTTTGCATTTTAGGATCAATCTCATTAACAACATCACATTGTGTTTCATTAATTAGGGTCCAGGTGTATTCCACTTTTGCACAAAGTCTTAGGTCTTGTCTCTCTCCTAAATAAATCAGCAGTTACTTCAGCCTCCTGCAGCCAAGTGGCCCCATGACAATGAGTGGTCACTGTGGGTTTTGTGATGTAGAGGTGTTTTTGGTGAAAAGATAGAGAAGCCTGGAAGCACTTCTGATTGCAGTTTCTGTTTGGACAAAGGATCTTTATGCCTGCATGAGGAGATGCAAGTAAGGGTGGGAATGAGAAGGAATATCTTGGTTACCTCAGCATAGCCATGCATTTCCATGGTGGGGTGGGAAGGACTGGTAAGAAAAAAATGAGCTCCAGCTAGTAAAGAAAAAACTTCAGTATAGATTTGCTAATCTGATTTGGTACGTGCTATGATGTCCTGTCAGGCTGGTGACGTGCCTGTCCAGATAAAAGTGTGACCCACACAGGCCTAAATGAAAAGGCTGAAAAAATGGGAATGTGATTCTTTAAAAAAATGTCATTGAAGGAAGAAAAAAAAAACAAAACCAAAACAAGTGATGCTCTAGACTGTAAACTGTATCTAAATAAACATAATGGAATCAGAACAGCTAAAGAAAGATCCAAATTACAACTTAATTGACATAACAGAAACTTGGTAAAGTAATGTCACGTGAGTATGTGACCGGAATACTAATGCCAAAGAGCACAGCTTGTTCAGGAGGAGGAAACAACAGGAAGAAAAAAGGTAAAGGAGATTATGCCTCATGTCTCACTGAGATGTTCAGAATGCAGCAGGAAACATGCATTGAAAGTTTGAGCAATCGTACAAAGAACAAGAATTATAGACATTGTTGGGGAATCTGCTGCAGATTGAGGCAGATAAAGTAGATAACTCTTTTTGTTAGCAATTAGCAGGATTGTCCAAAGCATAGAGCTTGGCCAAAATGGGAAATTTCAGTCAGACAGGTCTTTAAAAAAGAGCTGAGCTTGACTCAGATACCATGGTTCCTTCTCTTTGGAATAAGCATTAGCGTATATATGGGAATCCCTCAAATTTATGAGCCTGCCTTTTTAAGCAATCCCACTTGATAAAATAATTTATTTTACTTCCTTTTTACAGTCCTGTCTCAGCATTGGAGATACTTTAATATTTGTTTTTAGCTATTCTCTTTTCTTGATGTAGGTGGCACACCAAGACATGCTCTCTCTTACCATGGAATGGCATTCCTCTTCACAAATCTGCAATCCTTCAATTGTGGTCTTTGGAAAGGATGATGAATATTAGAGAGGCTGCTTAATTGGCCTCACCCAAACCACTCCTTATTCCCAGATAAAATCCCTGAAACTTAAAAAAATTAAATTCATCTCAGTGCCAGTAAAATTCATTTGCACATGATTGAATGGCAGGCACCGTGCATGGAGAAGCAAAAAGAGGGCTCCTTCCTCAGATACCTTCCACTTTCTTCCCGTTGCTTTATATCTACCCTGACCATCTTTAGGACAGGCTGCAGAACCAGATGAAATATTGCTCTTCATATTTCTCTCAATGACATCCAAATGGGAACTGGGAATAAGGAGTGGAAAATGAGGCATCACGTTCAAGCTGCTACCACAGATGAGCGAGTTTCTGCCTGACTCTTCCTTTCCACTTTCCTCCGCTCCCCCCCAGAATTTCTCTGAATTGCAAAGTTGTTACAGTGATTCCCCAAAGTATTCCTACTTTTCTTTAGGGCATAAACATGTAAATATGAGGATGCTGAAAACTCTGTGATGAAAGTTGTTCTTTGTCAAGTCTGTTGCAGCTTTCTTAGTCAGGGCACAATAAAGGTGGACAAGTTGTGCAGAGTGACAGTGGATATCCATTCATGAAAACAGAGGAAGGAAAAGGTCAACAACCACAGTCAAACTATCGTTTCAAGGAAGTTTATGCTTATCCCACCCCATAAACACAGACACACTTCTGTGAGATCCTATGTTACACTGTAATTTCTGCTGGGAAACTTCTAAAGGCAAATTTCTCCAGGCTGAATTATACGAAATTGCTCATAGTGACTAGATGTTCAGCGTTCTGTGCCTGTTTCTTCACAAACCAATGCCTTCAGATTGGTCTTGTTATAGTTGCAATGAATGGCTGGAAGCATCCTTGGTGCACAGTTTGTGGAACAGACCTCTCTTACAGCTCTTTTCTTCTCCTGGGATCTGTGTGATGTTTTTAGTGTGTTTACAGAGAGCCTGTGTGAACTGTCAGAAGCTGCTGTTGGCTGATACCAGCTGAGGTTCAGGGCTGTGTGAATGACCTGGGGCCAGACTCAGACAAGAGTGGAGGCTGGTAAGGGCATGACGTTGTTCAGAGTGAGCTGGTTCCCACAGGAGGACACAGATTGCTGACATGACTTTAGGCCTCATTTATTTGACCTAAAATCTGCTGTGCTGGCGCATGATTTGGACTTCTGGGTTTCCAAGTGCATGTCATAGGAAGATTGCACTTCTCCCAGGAAAGGTGTGCCCAAAAGGGAATGCTCTCCAGCTTTCTCAAATTTACCCATGCAATATTTTGTCTGGCTTTCCAGCCTTGATGCCACCTACCTCTTGTCAGATATCTTTTCCAATATGAGATAGAAATTCAGCTTTTTCTGGCAAAAATTTCCCTCTAACTGTCCCCTATGCCCTATAAGAGTTCCCAATTTTCTTCCCATGAACTGCTGAGTTTAAAAAAAGAAAGAGTCTTTATGTCGTTCTGTTCCTTTTAGCTTTTTGCTTTTCCTTCTATACACTTATTCATAGATTCAAGTGATGGGAAATATCCCAAATAAAATGGGATTCTTTTTTAATCAAAAGAAAATACAAATAATTTCTCATCTGTGGACAAGATACTTCATGTAAACAGCATTTGATGAGCTCAACAAGCATTATATAGGCTGATGAACACATCAGAAAGAGAATTTCAAATGCCCATTACCTTGAGGCAGTGACCCAGAATATTGTGTGGACCTCGATTTTCAGCATCATTTTCAATGATGCTTGAATTAATAAAAAAATAACTGCACACATGAATGTTATTAACTTATTTTGGGTTCTGTTAGAGTGTGTTTTCTGTTTTGCAGCATTTAAATGACTTCCAAAGTGTGTCAGTCGGATTGCTAAGTGAAGAGGACGACAGCACAGTGCCCTCAGAGTCAGGTCTCCTGGCCACAGAGCAGTGAAAAGCCCCAGAGTCAGTGAAAATCATGGCAGCAAAGGTGCAGTTCTTACAGCTACCACAGATGCACAGAGGACTCCATCGCATGGGACAAAGGAGCTGACACTCCGTTCCCAGGCACTGAAAAAGAAGGGTGAGAAAACATTGCTGCCAATGACTCATATTTGTTTTAGTGATCAGACCATATGCAAAAACATTTTGTTTTGTCAGACCCAATATAATAATATTTGACGTTTGATTTCAAACCCAGGAAAACTGAGGACAGGTGAAAATAAATATTTTTCCTTACCTGAAACAGAACAAGCTTTTATTTTGGCCAGTGCTGAGTACTTTTCTCTCCACTCTATCACTCTTAGGTGGGTGGCAAAACTTCCCCCTAAAAAACAAACATGTTCAGAGAAAATCTGATGTAAAGAGCAGCAAGATCAGCAAATCCAAAACCCCGACTTTTTATTACCACTGTTACTGATAATTCTCCAATTTGATCCAGTTCTAATTTGTGCAAGCAATTTTTTTATCTCCTTTTCAGTCAATGGATTATTTGTATGAGGCTCTTGGTGTTTAAAACAGTTGAAAAATAAGAACTAAACCAAAAGTAATGTTTTTACATGCCACAGAGGTAGTTGAAACAATAGAAAAACAAATCAGATGCAATTCTGCAATTCTGCATCAAAGGGTTACAAGCAGTGTCAGAAAGGCTAGGTTATCAACCAGTGAGACTAAAAATAAAGAAGTACTGCAAGAAAAAAAAATAACTTTTTTGTTCAATTGAATATCTTAAACTCTATGGTCAATAAAGAAGAAAAAATAGGAAAAATAATCCTAAGGTAATTTCCAATTCAAAGGCTGGCCTTAATATTTAAGAATTTATACTACTTCACTATTTTAGATAGATAATTATACAGGTAGATGCTTTCTTTAAAAATACCAAGGAATATAATACAAAATTCCTATGTTTCAGTTTCAACATATATGAACTACAAAGAGCTTCATTCTTGCTTTTTACGTTGGTTTTTTTTCTGATACCTATAAAATTTTAGGTGCAGGGGAACTATTTTTAAACTTTCAATTAATTTTACTACTTAGACATTTTACTAAGTTTTTAGAATTTTAAGATCTTTTTCTTATGTCCATTGTATTTTCTGTGAAACAGGCATTACTTGAAATGGAGCTGAGGCCAACATCTTTTAAAAAGGATTATTTGGTCTATCAAAAACAATTTTATCTTTCACAGGAAGCTAATAATGAGTAGCTTCCTTACCCTGTTGAATTGAAACATGGTAATGTGATCCAGCAGGTACAGGCCTTGAAGATAGAAAGCATAATGAGATATACAAATGAAAATAATTTGATTTTCCCCAGCAACTAGTACCTGCACATGTTTCTTTAGCCAGTTTTATTGGTGTGCACCTTTCTTCCCCCTCACCTCCTCATTCCACAGCATGCAACACCCCCATGTTTTGAGATTCCCAAAGAGCCTACCAGCGCTAAATGAGCTCTCTGCAAACATTCTGTGTATCCCACAAGCTTGTACTTATTTCATGCTGAGTTTTGTCCTCAACAGACAGAACTGAGCACAAATGACTGTTCTGGTTTATGTCCTTATCAGAAAGGGGGAAAGAAGAGTAAGTGAACCGTGCCCTGGCCGGTGCCCTCCCCAGCACGGTAACTGCACAGACTGAGCAGTAACCACAAGTCCCTGAAGCACTTCATAATTTTATTTCATTGCATGAAACTGGTCAATGAAAAAACTAGTGATAAAACCAGTATAATCAGAGGGGAGAGAAAACACTCTTAACCCAAGCAAAAGGGACAAGTTCTCTTATAAAAAAGAGACAAATTCTCAGCAGACCTCAATGCTGATCTCTTCCAGTCTGCAAGGGTTGAGTCTTAATTTTTTTGCATCCTTTTTTATCTTTTATCAAAATATCCTCAGTGCTTTGTTGTCTGAAATTCAAGCCAAAATGTAACTGCCACAGAAGAAGAACAACATTGTTGGGGCCAAAACTTTATTTCTTAGCATCTGATATAAAAACACCCGTAGCTACCATCACATACATGTCAAACAGTCTGCAAAGTTAAAGCATATGTAGCAGTGCACAATCAGTGATATTTATGCAGCAATAGAGCCATTGCTTTCAAAGAACAGTGATGATTTGCAGTGGTTTTCCATGCACTTTGAGCCTTTAAATGAATCATAATTAGAAACTTTTTAACAGAAGGAGTTAAAACTAGTATGAATTCACTCAAATGCTAAAGATGTGAACACTAGATAAGGTAGGTAAGTCAGGAAAACAGTGGAAATGTATTGAAGATACATAATGGATAAAATCTTTGAAGTCAATAGGATTTCACCATGGATTACACCTGCTATACTTTATAATTATATACTTAGGAAGAATATATTCAGTGTTAACAGTTTGGCGATACTTCAAGATGCTAATCTTCACATTTTCACGTATATTCAGAAGCAAGATGAAAGGGCTGAACAGTTAAGTAAGACACAAAGCATGTAAATGCTCAGCTCTTGTTGTGAAGGCAGACTCATTAAGGACAAATACAGGTTGCTTTGATGCTGTGCCAAACATCTGTAATTTTGTAAATTACAAAATACGGTAACATTTTGAGACATCTTGCCTTAGCAACAACATTGACAGATGACAAACCATTGATTTTCTGTCAGCTGCTTTCTTCCTCCTTTTTCAGTTCTCTGATTCCAAACATCTCCAATCCCCATCTTCACAGGCCTTAACCAAGACCATAGCTTTCCACTGCGTTTCTAGGCAATAGATGAACCCGGGTGATGGAGGTCATCATTCCCTACATTCCTCAGCTTATGTATCACTTGGAGATGCCCCTCTGCACTGATGTGCTTTCTGGAGCTGCTTCACATACAATTCAGTTTCTCTTGTTGTGAGGACTGTGACTTCCAAGAGAAGCATCTCCTCCAGCAATCTGACTTCACCTGCTCCATCCATCAATACAGTGTGTTGATTTAAAACTCGGGGTGTGTAAGAACCTAGGTTACTGAAAATGTGTCAACCTAGGATATTTGTTTCAACATGCCCTTTGAAGGCACAGATTATTTTACCTGAATCTTGGATTTTATTTTTGTTTTATGCTATCCTATTCATACACATACTCCAGGCTCGCAAACAAACGTAAATGATGATTTGGAAAGATGGCTCCTTTCCTATGAAATGCTATAAATGTTAGGATCCATCTTTCCCATTATTTATTTTTTTTTTAAATGTAGAAATATTTTCAGTTGGTAATTCTTGTAGGACACTGGAAAAGTAAAGTGCAGTGACATTAAATGTAAGAAATTACAGATACACTTTTTCAAGGACTCATTACTCATTCAGTAAAAACTTTTGAGGACAAAAATGTGGTCCCAGATGGGGAGAATAACAATTACAGCAGTAACACAAGGATCTGACAATTTGAATATTTGTTTATTTGCATCAGAGGCCTGTATTTACACAGCAGTAATTACAAAGTTGTTCTGGCATTCAGCCACTTGACTACATTAAAGATAGGACATAGCTATCAAGGGCCCCTAGATTTTGGAGTCCAGGTTTCTCCTTTAGAGAAATTTAAGATGACTTTTTAATGGCATCAAACAGGACTTCAATTAATACTTGTTGCATTAATTACTGTTATTAATGTTACTGTTACTGCATCTGAGACCCTCCTCCTGTACACACATTTGTTTTATGAGCAAGACTCATTCCCTGTGAGCTCTCTAGATTTAGCCTGTAAGCCAGACACTTGCTGTCCCTGCTTTGCACTCTTAAAATATGCAATCCCATTCCCAGATGCTTGCCATGCCAAGGTACATAAAGTGTAGCTTTCTTCTGCAGTCCTTCTGTCTGAATGTCACTTTCAGAGTCACAAGGTTTGCCAAGCACATGGAAATGTGTTTTTAGTCTTATTATCCAGCAGTAACTATTAGGAACCATGGTCAAGCCAAACTAGGACATTTAATCCATCTTCCAAGATTCAATAAATATTTAAATAATAGCTAGGTAAAGACTTCCAAAATTAATTTCTTTTCTATGCAATTTTCAGGTATGGCTACATATTGCATGCTCCTACAGTTTAGTTCATGCCTGAAACTCCAGGTTATTGGGTTGTAAAGAGATAACACAGAATCAAAATACTAGGAATTGCATCTGTAATGCTCAGAGAAGCCCAGCCACTCACACTGAAGGGCAATTGCCCACTAAGATATTTTATTGTATTAACTAAGTACCATGAGACAAGCCAATCTCTGATAACATCAAACATGACATAAATGGACACTACTAAAGAAGAAAACTGAGTAGACAAAAGAGAGAATATTATCAACAACAAGGATTGTGAGAAAGAAAACATATTTTTACCTGGTTCTAAATCTTTTCTTTGTGCGTAGCTTTTAATCCTAAAAGCAAAATGTCACACCTGTCACACCCATGAGATACATAAACAAATTAAACATGACCCAGATTAAGGACAAAAGCAAACATGGGCCTGCACTGACACAAGGTGAGCTCAGTGATGTTCAGAGGTTAACTCAGCTGCACTTTGAGGATCGGGAGAGACTTGACAGCCAAAGCCATGTTAAAGCACTGCAGAGCACTCTCACAAACTGAGATTCCAGTTGTCTCATCAGGACTGTGAAACACATATCCCTCTAATCAGTCTGGTTAATCTCTTAACACAAGAAATAATTTTTATTTCTGAAATCCTAGTTTAAACTTCCCTGCCTATACACAAAATCCTCTTTGGACTGCAGCTCTGTATTCTCACAGACACACAAACAACCAAGCATTTCTTACTCTTCCACAAAACATCATTATTTACCATTATAAAGCTCAAATGATCTTTTCCAAAGAAAGGTCAATATTTTAAATGTTGATGAAAGTACCTATTCCTTTTTACATTGATTAGTCACTCTGTGGAAATGTTGTTTTGTGAAAATCTCCTTTCTCAAGGAGACTTTTGTGAGCTTTGTGACTTTCTTTCTGTCAGCTATACCATCCCATCCCTGGAATTTCAAGATCAGAGGGCAGCAGGATAATTTCTTGCAAAGTTAGTAAAGGTTTAAAGAGAAGTCATTCAAAATTAAACTTTCTTTAAAAACATAGGAAA